ATCAGAACTACAAGCAAAATTACCAGACAGAAAATTAAGATAAAATAACAAGAATATTTAGAATCACAGTAATCAATTTTGAAATGGCTTTTAAGAAGGGTTTATACTGACAGCTATTTAGCTGGTATTTAGAAGAAAATGTTCTTTGAGTGTAATTTATCTGTCAACGCAAAGTACCAGTGTTACCTCTGTACCCTTTTACATACCAGAAGCATCAGCACTGCCTACTAATTGTTACGGTACACTAGATTAAACTCACTAATCTCATTGTTATTAAACAAAACAATAAATTTTGCAGCTAAAGACTTACATAACAGGTGAGTTTTCAGAGCTGTTAGTTTCAGGAACAGCGCAATATTCTTTCAATTCACATCCTAAGCGCACTGTTCTCATGGTGAATGGGAAGCTATAATGACATTTCACCACATTTCAAATCAGAAACAGAAAACCAAATATACCATAATTGTAAGCAGGTCTAAGCAGTTGCTAATGAGACAGTAGGGCCCCCAAAAAGGTAATATACCTTAAATGAGATGTACTTCCCATTCAGATTTCTATAAGGGATAGAATGTCTATCTCCAGTCAGTTTCTAACAAACAAGTTGAGCAGAGATCACTGTGTCATCTGAAATTTCCTAACTTTGGATGTGTTTGCAGATGATAAAATCCTGGCAACTAAAATCAACTAATGAAGGTTTGCATTAGTAAATATGAGAAAAATCAGTCTTCATGCCTGTTCACTCCTTCAACAACTTCCCAAAGATGGTATAGCGTACTAGCAGTGGAGCTAAATCAACATACAGACCAGAGTTCACTGTGAAGCAGGGAGAACCACCAAAAGGCATGTAATCACAGATTCCGAGCACGATTGCACCGTCCAGCTCTATCAGTGGAAGAGGTGGACTGAAACTGAACCAAGACCTGCAGTGCTGCTTTCATGAACAGTCACACTCCTTCACTAACACAAAGTCAGGTAAAACTTGTTCTTAAGTCAAACCTTAAAATGACAATACAAAAGGTCACAGGACCCTTCCCTGACCGTGTGTTTATTTTCAAAGATTTCTCCTGTTCCTATACTACGCATTATACTATTTTCAAATGAAAAGAATGTCTGAAATAGCATTAATTAAAAGAAAGGGGCAAGAAGGAGGATGCATGGGAAATTCTAATGAACCTTTGTGGCAGTAGCTTCTTTGAACCAAGCTGTCAGAGACAACGTTGTACTCTATAATTATGCATGTTTTGAATGGACAGGTTGATACCTAAACAGACATTTGAATTGTCTGAAAGTTGTTTAAAGTACTTGAGCAAAGATTTCAGATTTTAAAATTGTGTTACTCACTACATGAAAACTAGACTGGAAAAAAACCTCTCCTTTCTTTTCATCATTCCAGCACAAATGCAAAAAGAATTAGAAGATTTGTGTCAGTATAGAATACTTCACATATTCTGCTCTCTCTAAGGAAAATGTCAAAAACAACTGAGCTTTCACAAAGCACGCAGACAGATAAACTTTAAAGGTGCTGTATGCTTTTCTATGAAAAAAATGCACCTTTCTACAAGGCTCACAACTACCAAAACAATGAAAATCTGTTGACACTGAAAGTCAGTTTGATTTTATGAGCCTCCAAATACCACAGTTTGAAAAATCTTCTGAATAAGAAGCCCCTTCACAATTTATCACTTGGTAAAACTTCTTTGAAGAATCATCTCTACTACATCCCAAGAGAAAGTGTGCTATTCTGAAAGTCTACTGTCACCAGTATTTATTCATTCCTACTGTGTAACTTCAAAATTATCTTGATATCTCTCCCTTGTCCTTTCTCACATACAAATACCACAGAAGCTTGATGTCTCTCTTACAGGAGATTACATTAGGACCATACTTCTCCCTCTTCAACTTCCTGTAGAGTTCATGATTCAGTGTGTCGTCAGCTGCTTCAGGAGTCTCCAATTCCTTCTCCATAAAAATTTCAGCTGTTGCATTGCTGTATTTATTTGCCCACATAACCACTAAAGAGATATTTTGGGGTTTTAGTAGAAAAACCTTTCCACCTGCTCTTGCATGCTTTTGGAATACAACTGTTATAATGACTTTCTGTCCTTTTACAGATCACTTAGACAAATTTAGCAGTAAAGCAAATACGTAATTTCCTTTCTTTAAAGACCCGAATCAATACCATTTAGACATACACAAAATTTAGAGTTTCAAAAGAAAACAAATTCTTAGCTTTAACTCAATATTATTTCAAATGTTTGAATAGAAAGCCTTGCATGGACAAAACTAAGAACAGTTGAGATATGCAGCCTGTTAATCTCTCTTCAGTTTCTAATGGGTGCTGATATCTTCACAGTGAATGTGATCTTTAGTCTCCTGCAGAGAGCTTTTGGCTTGTAAAAGGGGTGCATTACAGTAATTATTAGTGATAAAGTAAAACATTTTTTCTCACACTAGACATCTTATTTTCATTTTTCAAATTAGCACACCTCCCTTTTTAACTGAAATTATTATCCTTCAATTCTCCAGACTGTCCTAGAGTTTTCTGAAAACTCAGAGTACGGAACACAAATGCATCATTAACCACTAACACCCTCTTAGTCTCTGAGGCTGGAGGATGGCGGGACAGCGTGACATCCAAAGCACTGTGGCATTTCTTTACTGGCTAACAGTCACAACTCTAACTTAGTCTGTCCTGAGCCACCTTCTACAGCACTCCAGGAGATAGAACTATACTGACTACAATATACAAAACCAAGTTAGAAGTAAGACTGACTTTTAAAAGATCCACTGATGTTTAAGAAATACTTTGTTTTTACTCATCATGAAATACAATTCTGCCTTTGTGATCATGGTCCAGCACAAAGGATTTAACTCTAGTGGCCTGTCTTGCCCATTTTATGCAAATAAATACATTTGTCAAGTTACTTCTATTTTATTTAAATAAGCAATGAATGTGAATTCACATGTTTAAAGGTAAATATTGTTTCAAATCAGTGTACAAGGCCATTGATAGTGAGTAGTTATACTTTCTCCAACAATGTGATCGCTTTCATACAGAAAAATAAACCTAAGAGAAGGATAACTGTAGATTTAACAAAATCAATAGAAATAGTATTATTAGTCTCTTTTTGATATATTCAGCACATCATACTAATATAATTTCAGTTACAGCTATATGAAGATAAGCTGATATCAGGTAATGAGTATTAAAAAAAAAAAAACAGTTTTATTCTGCTCTTCCAGATAGGAAGTCCCTGTCACTGACCTTTAAGGTACAGATAAAAGAAAATGCTCTTTTCTCCAACCAACTTTCCAAAGAGAATTGCTTTCCATTCTACTTTAAAAGCCCCTTCTGATGGAAGAACTATGTTAGTAAAAACCTAGAGAGTCATAAGCTTGCTTTCTTTGTTAGCAGCATTACTGCATGACAAAGTGTATTTGAGCAGACAATGGAAGAACCTTTTTGGCTCAGAGGAACTATACAAGAACTCAATTGAAAAATCACTTAGATCACGCCTACAGAGATGCTGAAAACAGCACCACCCTCCTCAGAGTTATGAGAGTTCAAACAGATGAACAAAGTAGCAAGAAGCCTTTCTAATGTGTAATTCAAATTAACACATTCAAATTCCTTTAATAGAAAATACTCAAATCTCAAAAAGCTATACATTTTTCACTGCTGTTAGGTCTTAGAAATAAGCAATTTTTTTTTCCCTTCAGTTTTTCTGTTAATGCATCTCAGAAAAAGATGGGAGTTTTATAAAGTGTAGCGATATGGACTACTGCACAGATTTGTGTTGGTAAGGGGAATAAAATACAATCAAATAAACAACCCATCCTGCAGTTTTCAAAAATATGATGACTGCTTTGAATGAGGAGCTTTTTTTAGGCACATTTTGTTATCACTATAGTGGTAATAAAACAAAGCCCACAGAAAAAGATCAAAACCTCAGCTGGAACAAAAAGTCTAACAGACAGTCATGCTGAGGCTTTGTTCCCGAGCAATTGTATTAATATACATTATCAATACTATAATAAACTCTCCTGAAATATTTCTTTAATGATTAATTCCTTGACTAATTAACGCTTAGCTAGAAAACTATTTTCACTGAAAACTTTGTGATATTTGTGAAGAAACAGAAGTAAACAGTCAAACAGCAAAGCTTTATTGTTAATGAAACTTTCCAGAATATGGATAAACATTAGATTCCATTTCTAGTGACTTAAAGCCTTTCTTGTAGGGTCTTGAGAAATAAAAAGTACTTTAGTTCTCATTTTATTTTTTATTTTAAGCTGAGGATTCTTTAGACATTTCCTTTGCTGTACTGAATTTCTGAGAAGCTAGTATCTTGTTTATTGGGCACAGCAGCAAATAAGTGAGAGCAATTATACTGATGCTTTTAATTTTCCCCTAACTTTGCCAGTCAACTGTGTCATTCCACCAGATTTAAGTAGTCCAGTATGTTTCTAGTCTGAAAATGGCACTAAAACTCTCAGAGGAAAATCCTTACTTGCTTTTGAGAGACCTTGAAGTAAAGCTATGCCCAAATGAAGGCTGCAATTCCAGACTCCATTAATATTAAGAACCACTTATCAGATCCTGTAAAGCTTTATTGCTTTCCACCTGGCCTAGATTACTTCAATTCTTGAGCATACAATACTACAGAGGACAGTACCATAACCCCTCCCTGCCCTGCAGAGCTGCACTAGGTACCACAGTAATGCGGGAAGTGCCACACTGCCATCTGCAGCCAGGAATACCCACCAATGTGATAACTCACTGCTCAGTTTCCTTACAGCCAACTGTCATTTTCTTTTCATTTTCTCCCTTAACACTGATGAATCTCAAATTGTTTACTTTTCAATGCCTCAATCAAACATGACCTTTCAAACTTTTAATCATTGCAAAAAAAGTTATTTTGCAGCACTTAGAGCTAGAGTTACAGGAACAGCAAAGTAAGAAGGGAAGGAGAAAGTGAGCACCTCAAAATTTCCATTACCTGTCTGGTGTGTATGGGGCCTGGGGTCTTGAAGCCTCCTTGACAGCTGCATTCAGAAACACTGTAAGGGTCCGAGCTGCTTGATGAGCACTTGGAAAGTGAGTCACAGCCCACCACAAAGGTGTTATCTAGAGGCAGTTCCTGAATGACATGGTGCTTCTTGGGGGGTACGGGAGTCTCGGGTTTAATTTGAAAGGTAGGCTGTGGAGAAGCAGACTTGTAGTGCTTTGCTAAATCTGGGCTATCGGGCTTAAATGTGGTTGGTGTGGTGGCCCAGTTATATTTTCCCATAGTCTGTTCTTCTAGCTCTACAGGAATGTCTAAAGTGCCATTTATGTGCTCATGGCCAGGATCATCAGGCTTAGATTCTTCAATAGTCACAAAGTTGAGGAGGAGACTTTTTGGAGAGCGCTTCTTCTTCTTCTTCTTTTTCTTGATCTGCCTATTCTCTTGGTTTGGGGAAACCCATTCACCACTCTGCTTGTTCTTTTGGACAACCTTGTGCCTAGGCGTCTGGCGGCACCGTACTAAAGCAGTAACAAAAATCACCAGAATGACTGTCATAGTGCCTGCAATAATGGCAATGATGATCTTGACATAATCATTGGTTTGTGGGGTTATCTCACCATCCCCAACATTCTGGCCAACTGGAGTTTCCATATTCCTGCGCACTAGCTCTTGTACGTAGGAACTATTGGTGACTGTCTCATTCACAAACAAATGCACAAGAGCTATAGTATAAAGTGACTCTGGCTGTCCTAGGTCATTGACTTTTATCACCAGTCTGTGCAAGCCATGATCTGATGTAATTACCTTCTCTTTCAAAGTAATATTGCCTGTTAATTGGTCAATTGTAAACAAGCCCCTTGAGTTCCCACCTATGATGCTATAGCGGAGCTCTGCATTCATTCCTGTGTCATTATCAACTGCAAAGACTTTAGTAACTACAGACCCTGGACTGGCTGATGTTGGAACCAACTCATATGAATAATTAGATGAAGGAATAACAAAAACAGGCCTGTTGTCATTTACATCAACAACATTGATGGTCACTTTGGCAGTTGAGGAACGCTGTATTCTTCCTCCATCCACAGCTTTTACCTGGAAAGTGTATGACCCCTGCTGTTCCCTATCAAAGGTAATATTAGGTCTTATTACACCAGTAAGGGGATCTATAATGAAATTATCTCTACCATTTAATATAGAGAGAGTGACCGCAGCATTCTCTCCAGAGTCAGCATCTGTAACTGTGATAAGCCCCACTGTGCCATACATGGGTAAGTTTTCTGGCACATAGAAATTATATTCGTTATGTGTGAAAGCAGGGCTGTTATCATTCTGGTCCAGGACAGACACTGTCACAGTAGCATTGGTCTGCAAGGGTGGCATCCCATTATCCTTAGCCAGCACAGTGAAGGAGTACCTGTCTTGCTTTTCTCTGTCCAGCTTTCTCACTGCTGTCAGGATGCCTGTACGGCGGTCAAGGTTGAAAATAGGGGGTGCATCAGAACCCAGGATATAGCTGATCTCAGCATTGCGCCCACTGTCAGCATCCGTAGCGCTTATCTTGGTTAACTGAGTACCAGGAGCGTTGTTTTCAGGGATGGAAAGACCTATGATAGGCTGTGTAAAAACTGGGGCATTGTCATTTTCATCTTTAATTTTGATCAGGAGCATTGCAGACTGGTTTAAGGGAGGTTTCCCTGAATCTGAAGCCACTATTTTAATGGCATATTCCCGTGTGGCTTCATAATCTAGAAATGTGGCCGTCTCCAGAAGAAACTGATTATCAAACACTGGCTTTAGCCTAAACGGGACATCATGATCTGTAAAACAGGTAACTTTTCCGTTCAGATCAGCATCCTTGTCCATTACTGTTATCAATGCAATTTTTGTATTAAGGGGAGCCTTCTCAGACAAAAGCACCGTCCCATTCACTGGATTGATGATGTATCTTGTGTCTATTGATGGGATGTTGTCATTAATATCTGTGACATTAACAGTCACTGTTGCTCTTGATGGAGTTGAACTGCCATCACTTGCCAAAACAGTTAATTTGTGTACAGGAGATTCCTCCCTGTCTAGCGGTTCTTTTATAGTGATGAGTCCAGTGGTGTTATCAATGGCAAAGAGCCTTTTGGCCAAACTGGAGATCTGATTACTGAAATAGAAGTGGATTTGTGCATTTGAGCCCAGGTCTGCATCAGTGGCGTGGAGCTGAGAAACAGAGGTGCCCACTGGAGCATTTTCTGGAACACTAACTTCAACATCATTCTCTTTGAAGACTGGGCGATTATCGTTCACATCAGTCACAGTGACTTGCAGGATGGCAGTGCTAGATCTTGGAGGGCTTCCACCGTCTTCAACTTTAATTTTCATCACATAGGTATCCTTCTGTTCCCTATCCAGGATCTGTTGGACAATCAGTTGAGGCCACTTATCTCCCTCAGGTGTCTCAATTATATCAAGACCAAATACATTTTGACCCTACAAGACATAAAAAGAACATACTTTACCACAACAGTATATTCAAACAGAGAAACATCTCATTAATGTTCTGAAATTGTCATGGAACATATATTTACATATATATTGTATACAGCAATACACATGTATATATTTACCTTTATTTTGCAATATCCAATTTTGGTTTAAGTTCTAGGGCCTTAAGAAGGCTTCTGAGCAAACATGTGAAGAAACGGATACTTTAGAAAAACAGGAGGGGTGGAGGTGTGTTTTGTTTTGGGATTTTTAAGAAAAGTTATTAAATTCCTGGACAGATGTAATTTGGTTTCTCTATTGTATGAATGAGTATGGAGAAGGGGAACGAAGCCGAAGTTCAACCACATCCAAAGGCAGGACAGTATGCATACACTGGAGGACCGAAACCAGTATTCAATTTCAAGGAAAACAAAAAAGATAAAGGGACTGTTTCTCTGTTCACGGAGCAACTCTGGACACGATCTGAAATCATTAGCTTAAAAAAACATCACCATCATTGAAAAGGGGCTTACTACATAATTCAGGTGTTAGATGGTACAGGCAAAACTAAATCATAACAATTTATTAGAAAGATATTTAACTCATTAAAACTATTCCTTCCTTCATCATTATATATTTGGTATTTGTAGTGAAAATTGCAATGCCAGTGAGAAAAGAAGATCTACTTTCATTTCAAAAAATATCACAGAACTACGAGATCAATTTGAAAATAATCAACTTTTTTTCATGGGGTTTGTTGAACAACTAACACTCCTGGAATGTGAAGAAATGCTATATATATTGCACAAATATATCTTCTTCTAAAATACTAGTGTTGACAAAGTAATCTGCTGAAAGAGAGACTGGAATCTAGAACTAGGCTCCCTCTTCTGCTGTCTCCTCAGACAAGTGGGGATTAAGAATATCACAATTATCCTCTTTTCTCCCATCTCTCACCCTTCAGAGAAAGAAAGGATGTAAAGGCAGTTTTCCAGCTATACATCCATAAGGGCAGAGCTAGAACGCAGATCATTGAAGCTGAATGTATAGGATGACCAGAAAAAGAAAGCATCGACAAAGATATTGACAAATTAGGATTTTCTTTTTGTGTGTCATACTTTTAATATTGAACAACTGCATCCAGCCTGGTTCTTTCTCTGTTTGTTGTGTTTGTCTCACCTTTACTCATGCAATTGTATGCATATTCTAAACTGATCTGAGACACTTGAGAACAAAGGGAAAGAAAATGTTCCCAGTGTGCAAGGTTCCTCATTTCTCATTAATTGCAAAAAAATTATATTCACTGTATCTTGCTACCCACCATTAAGTGAATGCATTTATAGGTCTAATTCTGTGTAAGGCTGTACTCTTTCATTGATTTGTTTTCTCATAGCCAGAATTTGACCCTACACAAGTAATCATTTATTCCACAGAAAAGAACTATTCATCTACATTTCAAAAATTACTGTGCCACTTGCACAGTATTTGTGACAACATTAAGTTGCAACTAGGGACAGTCTAAAGTGAACTGGAACACATTTTGAAACAATAAAACAAATACAGCTTTGGCTTCCTTAGCAGAAGACATAAGAAAATATAAGCCTTGCAAATGATTTCTAAATCAAGATATACTTCTTGAACTAATTAGCTTAAATTTTAGAATGGAAATTCTAGGCTGATCTCTTCATGAAGGTGGAGTGCGAGTTTCCTCTTCATCTTCAAACTGGCTAGCAGTAATTTGCAATAAATTTCATAATTTGAAATTGAGAAATTATGAGTTATATATTCTATGCTTTAAGATAGATTTCCAGAAAAAAAAAAAAAGTAACAGAAGCTAGAGGGAAGAAAAAAAAAAAAACCTGTCAGCTATCTTTTACTTCTTTATTTGTACACAAGCTGACAGATGGGCACTGATTATTCTGTCATTAGATCCCACAACTACAACAAACACTTCATACAGACTTTGAATACATGTAGCTACACATATGCATACCCATTTCTGCTTTTCTTTAACTATCAAGTATGAGAAAGATATTTTTCATTATAGCATACGAGTTTGATATAAAATATAGAGCTTCAGTTCCCCATCACTAGCAGTAAATTACTGGAGAAACAGAAAAGAATGCAAAGATCTCTTCCAAGTTAATAATTAACACTTAAGTCATTTTCTATGGAAAAATATTATCCAAGAGTATTTCTTACTATTCATTACAGGTTTATACATCTTTGTAAACCACCAAAAAAAAAAAAAAAAGAAGACAGTTACAGACAATTATACTTTCTCCTAATTCAAGCAAGCCTATTTCACGTTGTTTAAAGGACAAGATTAGGTGTGAGATTATGCTGCATTTTAATAAATGCATTTTCTAAGAACAGACAGTTGTCCCATTCTAAACACTCAAAAAAATGATGAAACATTCAAGAAACATTTTTAAGATTATAAATACCGAACTCTCTCCCTTATGAGCAAAGAAATTGAGAGTTAAAAATCCTGAGATAAACGGGAAGAAAACCCTTCAGGAGGAAATTCTTGATGTTGAAGTAAATGGCTCTATCATCACTAAAACCTCAGTGAAGTGAACATTCCCATTAGGGTCAGATTATTATTTGGACTGAACTGTACCTCAGTCACCACATTAACCCAGTGATCTGAAGATTTCGTTCACATTAGGAAGTGTATGAGTCCATACGAAAAGCATAATAGATAATTAATATTTTTATGGAACCTCTCGTCACTAAAATGACTGACCGGTAAAAATAAATCTGCTACATTATTATCTCACCACTACTAAAGGATGGGGAGTGATAAATATAAAAGGTTGATTTTTTTTTAAGCTAAAAAGACTGTTTAAGCAATGTAACCTATTTGAGGCAAAACAAAGTTATGCCCATCTCAGAGCCAGGATTAGCTTTAAGATGCTCTTCTTTATTAGGGCAATAAGCAACTTTGTTACCTTTTACAATTTTCATAACATCCTTTTCAGTGGATTCATGCACACAGTAGTCTGAAATAATTAAACTGGTATTCTTGTTGAATATTCTCTACTGTATATTTACCTGATCATTTGTAATGGATCCAAATGTCCTTTTCGGAGCTGTTTTGGGCTGTCATGTAAATAAAAAATTAGAGAGTTTTTTAAAAATTGTAACATTTAGGTAGATTAATAAACACATAATCAATGATATATGGACACTTAACGTGGTAAGCTAGAACAGCTTCTAGTACTATGGACAGGACTGCACGTGACAAAGAGCACCTAAAGGCTACTCATAACTTGCCTCTAGACATACATATTGCAGTACCACAGTACCTCACCACACTGTTTTGTTAAATCCATGGGGTATTCACTATGTGGACATTGCAATGAATGTTCTTTCAGGCCACAAATTGTAATGTGGGCTTCACTGTTGAGAGTAATGGGAAAGACGACCAGCTTCTGATTAATGCTCATAACAGTGGCACGATCTGTTGTGTTCAGAACTTCTTACAAACTTACACTTGCAGTCCAGTAAGTTGATAGAACATAGTAATTTCTCAAAGAAATAGGTAAAGGAAAGAATACTGTGCTAAATAACTATAGAAAAATGACTGCTTGTGATACTGAAATTAAGACAGTCTATTAGTGATTATTTCTGAAAACATTACAAGTTATATAATTGTACATGGTAACTACACATTGTCAATTGACAGAGTAGATCAACATCATCCTCAATCTTCACTTTTTAGCAATGTCTATACTGTAACTTGCTATTTTTCCACCTCCAATTATAAAAGAGCTTCTATAAACGTAAAACACTGCCAAAGATTTCTTATCCATATACACAACCACACACGAAACCTTACTCATCCTATGAAGCAGACAGAAAGCAAAATGCTGTAGAGGGGATCAATAGAACATAAGGATAATAATGAACCATTTCATGCTGGAAAGGAACAGTGAGAAGTGTAATATGGAATGAAGCAGCAGACAATCGATGCATTTAATACTGATTTTCTGAAAAAGAAGGGAAAAAAGGCTAGGAGGTATACCCAAACATGAAATTACTTCCTTGGAAATCTGAATTTAATGTTATTACAAAAAGACTGAAACAGTTCTAACAACTATATTGCTTGAGCCTCCTTAATCCTTTCGGATGATTTGTTCTTTCTGTAAAGAGTTCCTTTCAATCTTGTCATATTCTGAACATTGTTACTTTATTTTCTAAGAAAAAAATATCTATCTTGTACCTGTCTAAGACAGAATGCTTTTACATCCTCCTCAACTCTTGGCATCCAAGTCTCAGAACTTATTTATTAGATCATGTTCACCTTCATTAAGGAGAAACCATTAGAGACAGTGAATACTACGTTTTTAATATATTTACTTTTTTGCTGCCCTAATTTCTCTGATCGACACTTAAAGCAAGCCTGAAACTCCATACCTAAAATGTGTTAATATTTTTAATCTACAAGCTTTACAAGGGAGAGAAGATTCAGAGCTGGAAAATAGCAATACACACGCTTCACATTTTCAAGACTGCACAGGGTTTCAAGAGTAACTCTCCTCCCAGATTACATCTTTGCCTGTGAAATGCTCTTTCTACTTTTTTTAAAAAAAAAAAAAAAAAAAAAATCAAAAAAAATCTAAATTCTCTTTTGAACCAGGGATTACAATTAAAAAAAAAAAAAAAAACCCACAACAAACCAAAACCAAAATAAAACAAAAACCTGAAACTTTTCTTTTAACAAAAATTCACTTCAAATACTTCTACAAACTAGGGTGGGAGTAATGGTGGATCTGCATTACTGCATTAACATTGACATAAAATTACCAAGATAATTGCTTACAAAAAAAGTGACAGCAGGAACTGGGCTGTCATTTGAATAGTCTTGCACAATGTACTGTAGACATACAGTTAGATATTTCATCAAAATATGCAGCTGCACCACCAAAGTTTATGGAATTTATCTTCACAATACTCCTGCTATATAGTCGTACCACTACCTAAAGATGGGAAATTGAAGTACAGAGACATTTCATCAGTTGTCCGAGGTTTGTAGCTTGTCTGAAAGAGCCAGCCACTTCTGAATTACCAACCATGTTTTAAATTAAATTTTTGAACTTTATACCTTAGAAACTAAACTTCAGAATTTTAAACTTTAAACAAAAGTTCTTTCATTTAGAGACACTCTTCCCACAAGAAGGTCAATAGCTGCAGGTAAGGCAATTAGGGAAGTAACCTCCTGTCTTAATCTCCTCCATTATAGTTGTTCAGAAATATTCACGGCCATCCTATTGAACAGGAAACTACATTTTCAACACACCTGAAGGTGTTCAGATTAACGTATTAAATATGTTTAAGCTTTGCTCTGAATTCCCATGTTTCCACAGCTAGATAAAGCTCTCTCTTTGGAGTCACACTATAGATATATAATGAAGAAAAAAAATTAGGATTTATATTAGGCAACAATATATTCAACAAGTGAATTTTGATATTTGCATTATATACGTGTGACAATTATATATTTGCTCAATTTCCCAGTTGAGAACAGCAACAGGAATAGAACCAAGTATCTCTAAAAAAGAGAAATGAAGGAGTACATGTTTCAGTAATGCAATTCTCTAATGCATCACTGTGCTTTTGGAAGTAACAGCTAACAATTCTGTATTGCTGTTCAGAACAGCTCCTAAATCACAACCTCATTTTGCTTCGACAGCCAAACAAGGTATCTTAGGCTCCTAATCGCACATTTCAGAGCTCTCAGGTGAATGCTGACTGTGTGTTGGAGCAGTATGAACCTGTAATGCCCTCCTATTCACTACCTGCTCTATAATCAGATCAGTACTTTCAGGCAGAAGGAGATTAAAACTGACAGCCACTTGCATACAAGAAAATAGAAGCAACTGAAATGTTTCTGAAAATTCCTTTACCCTAAAGCAGAGACTGTCCAGTATTCCTCAGCTTCCAGTAATTTCAGTGAGAACTGGGGGTGATGGATACACATGGATTTGGCTCATGACAAATGGAAAAACAAGAAATAAAATAAGACAGAAAACCTTTGTCCTTTGTTAAAATGAGTACAATTATTTGCAAACTAATGTTCATTAAATTAATGTTAGTACCTCATTCCCTCTTACACACACACAAAACTTCAACTAAGGTGCAAGCTCTTTTTAAATACATGGCATCTTCATTAAGACAACTCCATATCCTAACCTCTAACGCTGTAGTTTTTCCAAGAAGTTACTTAGCAAGATTATCTTATTTGATCTGAGGCAGTTTTAACCTAAAGTTTGGCTGTGAGCAAACCCACTGTATCTTCCCTTTATGTTTACACTTTCAGGAAAAAATGCTGACAAAACTTTCATCCCAATGGCATCAGTACCCCCCACCCTCCTCACCCCACCTTCTCTTCAGGGATCCTAGCATCCAGAAACACAAAGAAAATAAATGAAGATAATAACATGTTCTCTGGATTTACGCCACAAAGACATCCTTTCACATGCAGGGACCATACTTCAATGTACATGTATCACTGCTTTATGAATTTTGACATTAAAAAATACACAGCCTTAATGCAGAAAATTCATAAATCAATTTGGAAAAAAAAGTAACAGAATAAGAAAGAATAACTAATACAATAGAATTCACTTCTTTTCATTCCAAGTAGTCTTCCCCCAGCTTTCACAAAACAGGCTTTAGGAGCTGTAGGCCTGTTGCACATACTGCTAAAACAAACATGACAGTAAGCCTTTCTCAAAACCTCCACTCTTTGCAGGGTTTTGTAAAAATCAAAAGACGACAAAGTTTGTGTGGGACATTTAACTACTACAGGATCATTTTTGCTTTTGAAAGAAATGAAGCTGTGCTTCTCCAAATAATGAAAACTTACACTTTTTGTATTATTCTGAGAAAATAACAGTGGAACTACCACATTAAACTGTAAAAGTACGTGACGTATGTAAGTGCAAGATGCCACTTCACTACACCTTGGAACATAATAAATAATACTGCAATTTCAGAGTAATAAACCAGAGACAGTTGCTGAGAAGACGTACAGAGTGACAGTAAGTATTAAAAATAGTTCCAGAGAGACTGAATTCTAAAACTCATTAAATAAAAGTCTTTTCACCACGCTGATCAGGGAATGTAGTGGATAAACCAAAAACACGTTTTCCAGTGCTGCATTTATCAGGAAGACAACTTGTTGTCTTCCTCCTCCAATGTTACTGACTCCTATTCATCTGAAACAGTAAAACAAAAGCAAGATAAAAAGGAAGAAATATTTCCTTATTGTGAGGCAGTAACTTGACTCTGAATGTCAATTTTGAAAAGAAATCTCATGCTACCTGCATGTATTCAAAGTTCTAATATTTAAACTGTCATGACTTCTAGTTAACAAGTTATATTCCTAAAAACAGCTTCCCTTTGAGTTCTTTAGGATCAAAAATCTTAAAAGCATATTTGATACATACTTTTTTAAGTAGTTATACTCAAGAATATATTCCTTTCTAAAACAAAAATAGATTTTACTCTAACTGAATAGATTTGTGCTATTTCTCACTTAAAATCAGTGACAAAATTGATACAATTGAATTAAGAATCTTAGAACGGCATGTTTACAGGGGAAACGCCACTCACCATCGCATTCCAGCTTTTCTGCTCAGTTTTTGTTCACCGTTTATATTATCTAGTAGCAGTTCAGTCCTGAATATACACTATAAATTTTGGCTAATGGGCACGGGGTTTCCCTCCAACAGGAAAAAAAATGCGAAAAGCCCCATAGAACCATAGAACACAATAAGCCAATATTTAAGCATGAAGAACACTAGCTTCAGAAGGTAAATATAATATCCATCTCCTGTTGCACAGATACATGCTACCTGGTGGGACTAATCTGTATCTTCCAGTAAATTGTGAACTATCTATCCTTGGAGGCTGAGACAAGCTCTCACACAATTCATAGGAAAAACTGCGTAGAGTGGTTAATCTTAGAAGTAAAGTGAATGATGGGGTGTATCTCCACAGGAAAGCTAACACCAGAATAAACAAACCTGCTGAAGTGTTCTTTAGCAATATGACTGACCTCACCCAAACTGTACTATTCCAGAAAAAGCAAATTA